TCAAGGCCGACCCAATTCTAGCCCAATGAGGAAAAGGTGAGCTACAAAATCACGGGTCGTCCATCTCTCGCCGTGCATAAATTGAAGCTATTAACCCTATCGTAGAATCGTGACGTCCACGGCAGTATACTTCTATTACTACGCCTGTCAAGACGGACATATGCCGTTTGGTCCTCTCAACACGCAAAGTCCCTCGCCAAGGTCCCTTGCACACATCAACCATCACGCCAGTGGTTTGGAGATCATCCTTATCTAGGTTTGTCGCACCAGGTTGTACGGCGAGAGCGTGCCGAAGCTTAAGAGTCGTGAGTGATCTCTCTGCACATACGAGCCACTGGAGAACACGCTTTGCAACACAACGAGATTCAGGATCCTGAGATCCAACTAGCCTGATCGTCTTTGTATAGGCTTTATTGTAGGCCTGTGGCCCTGCAGGGAGCATTCTCAGAGTCTCAAGAATCTTCTTACGCGTTGTCTTGAGAACCAGGGAGTCGAGGTGAAATTTGGCGAGAAGAAACTTACGGGGTACTTAGCTGCTTGTGGAACGGCCTTCTAATAAGCCCAAGTACCGCTTACAATCCTTCGGCTGCTATAGTGATTCTGTCTTGAATCTTAGCTATATATTATCTATTCAAAGAACTTGCAAAGTATTTGCCCATATAGTAGGTACGAGTTATATGTATATGCTAGTTAATACAAAATATTGTATCTATCGCACCTGAGAGGTTAAAAGTCAGCTACTGGAGGTATCCGAGGGGCAGCTTCCCTCAAGTGCTGTATTATTACTTTCTTGGCGGATATATGGACCACCAAAACAATGTGACCATCTGCGAAGGATCTGGGCGCCTTAGCCCAGCTAAAGTGTTTGATGCCGAAGTAATTGGCGCGCTCGAAGGCCTGCGCGCTGCCGTCAAGATCCCCGACGCATCGGACAGCCCGATTGTGCTCTGCTTAGATAATCTAGCTGCATTATTTTTAATCTATCCGCATTATCTTTAACCTAGCTGCATTATTTTTAATCTAGCTGCATTGTTTTTAACCTAGCTGCATTATCTTTAACCTAGCTGCATTATCTTTAATCTAGCTGCATTATTTTTAACCCAGCTGCATTATCTTTAACTAAGCTGCATTATCTTTTTTGGCACGACGAGGTCACCTGAAACAACAGTACTCTTGAATAATACGTTAGAAAAGGCTCGACACTCCAGCATAGCAAACGGACCCCACGTTTTGGAGGGATATTAAATCTTTTTTTTATGAGACCTGCGTCGAGCCGCGTTTTATTTGACGCCCAGGAGAGCTAGGCAATATGCCCGTTTCTCGCGGGTACATCTGGGGAGGTTGAGTCGATCGGAACGATTGGCTGTCAAGTGGAAATGTTACACGGAAATGGCTGGTTACACAAGGGCTACGGTCACGAGACCCAGGGCAAAGTCCCTTACCGACTTCTTGTATAAATAGACGGCTTCGGTCCCTCAAGGCCTTGAGGAAAACTAAGGACCTTTGATACCAAAGACTGTTATTAGTTGAATTGAGCTAAATTGCTCCAAGCCCTCTTTCCGAGCCCTTGTCACAGGAAACAACCCCCGTTTCGACAGACAATACCTGAGCAGGTTTTACAACAGTGACCCCTATAGGCTGCCGTAATTGATAGCAGAACGTGGTGGATTAATAACTTGCTACTACCTAAAGTAAAGGAACCCGGCAGTAATGTGGTAGCTTAGCCGCGTGGGTGTGCCGATAATATTCATTTGCCACTAAGTCAGGGGTCGGCATGATTTAGCTGGGCGATATACCACCTCTAACAATAAGAAGTTACAAGCGTCTGGTGTCTGAGCACTAGAGTCTATAAGAGAAAATTGAGTAAGGGGCTGCCGAGAAAACGGTCCAAAGGCTATTGTCGGTGGACTGGGGCAACACCAATAGGGAGGGAAAAGAAGGGATCCCTGGCCTATATAGCATAAACGCATAAAGACTTCCTGAGTAAGGCTACCCATTTATGCGTCAGTAGAGTACCTTACTCAGGAGGTCTCTAGAAGTCCCTAAGACCTTTTAGCTGATTTTAATAAAATAGACCCATGATATTCCACATAATTGCCAATTCTATTTGTCAGGGGAAATTCGTTTCGTAACGTAATCTAACACGCTGTAAGTTCGCGAGTTTCCTATATAAATACTACCCCTTTCCTACTATCTAAAATTAAAGTCTTTTTATTTATATTCTTTTTATCTACTTACTTATCCTTCTTTGAGGCAATCTACCTAGATTAAGAGCCAAGAGCTTTATTACTCTTACTCACTTCTTATTTAAACGTTCCTACCACGTCTTCGCGATCCTATAAGCTCAACATGTACTTCCAATTGTGTCTAGCTCTCGGGGTACTACTCGTACAAGTATCGGGTCGAGGCTCTAGTAAACCAGTTAACTGCTCCGCGGAATGGGTTTTCTTTGACGCTGCAGGCGGCTGCTGTGCATCCTGGACTGTTAGGAAGCATATTCCCGATGAGGGCTTGGCAAACGAGAAATATGAACTTCTTTGCGTCACGATACCGAGCTTCCCACAGGCTACTTCTGAAGAAATTAATAGCCTGGGGAATTGCACGGGCTTCAACTTCGATGAGCTCAGTTCGGCATGCGAGATCTTCGGTAAGCCTCCACCAGTCCAGCTTACCAAGCAGGAGGAAGGTTTTCTTAAAGGCGAAATCGGCCAGGACTTATTAAGCAAAGGCTTTAAGAAAGAAGATGTTAAGAAACTTCCAAAGGATCGGTTAGGGCGGCCAACTATCAATGGAGTCAACATTAAAAAAGAGTTCTGCATCAACCCTTCAAAGTCGACTTTAGAAAAGAGTTCGGCATCGATTTTAGTGGTAAAGCGCAGAGTTACAGGGTCGGGCAGGGCGTGGAGGTCGGCAGGGACGGGATCGGGAAGAACAGAGGACAAGCAGTAGGGTCAGATTTACATAAGCAATAGAGAAGAAGTATTCAGTAAGGCTATACTATAGTTATATCCTCCTTTTTTAAAAAAAAACTATTATAAGGCGTGAAATGTCTTAATCTTGTACCTTGGTATAGCGGTGTCTAGCCTGACCGAAATCGGCGTGGCCAGGATCTTTGCACGAAATTAAAAAGACGAGTTTATAATTACTAATTATTATAGTATTAAATTCAAGGTTATAAAAGGTGTAAAGAGGGTACCCTAAAACTTATCGCCCGTATTAAGCTATAAGTTATTAGGTTATTACGCGCGCGGCTTATTGATCTTGGTCTTGATACGTGTGTAGCCTTTAAAGCAGCTCTTAGCTGGGTCTTTGCAGTTAAGGCCTGCCTCGTTGTACTGATCCAAGTGGGCATAGACAGTGTAGACGTGGAAGAAAGCTAGGAACAGAGAGTTAGTTGGTTTTTGACGCAAATAGCCAGGTCATAAATACTTGAACCGAGCGAGAAAAGGGTGGTAAAATAGAGGCTATAAAAAGATTGTAATTACTGTCTGGAAGTAAGCCACGTTTCATGAGGCGGCTGCTGTGAAGAACATCCTCAGCGAGGGCCACAGAGCCAATTACCCCGACAGCCAAACGGGTTTGAGCGATCATTCTGAGCATGAGCCTGCTGTGCAGTTCTTTAGAAGGACTGGGCACAGAGAGAGGAGGAAATGAATAATATTTCTTTGCTTATTAATGCCTTTGGCCTGTCGAGGCAGAGCACGAGCCCCGGTAACAATTGCAAAGAGAGCGTGAACCTGGTCACACACCTTGGATGGCCCTCTTTAATTTGTCTTTAACATGCAGGTGCTAGTTGCAAAGTATTATACTCTATTATACTTCACAGGCGAACTTGCCAATGCGTTCAGCGGCAGCCCCGGTCTGAAGTCTGTTATTCTACGCAGTTTTCTTCTGCTAGAAGTCTGGTAGGACACAAGAACCATGAGAATCCTGGGGAACGGGACATGACAAAGGGGCATTATCTCTTGAAATTGCTCTTCTTTTCCATGACGCGTCGGTCTTGGCGGGCCTTCCGTGTAATATAAGCAAGACTGATGCCTCAAAAGCCGACAGGTTGATAGTGCGCAAATATTCATTTATAAGCATAGTCTTGGCAATTTGATCCCTGTCTCGTGGCTGGTAATGTCTCTCGAACAGGGGCCTGGCATTGGCTCTTCCGCTACTTCAAGGTTAGTGGACATGCAGTGGAAAGAGAATTACGGAGTACCAGACCTGCTGTCACGGAATCTACTGACTAAGATATTGAGATTATAGTGGAGCAATTTGTGGCCGAGCAGCCTTCACGTGTTACCTCGAGTCAGACTATTATAGAGAATTGACTTGGTAGTTAGAATATATAGTTTCCTATTAATACGAAGTTTCATGCTATTAACCTGGGTAAAATAATAAAGAATAAACGTGATATGTTGTCTATTTAATACAAGGTATTCTCTTCTGTTTATAACTTCAATAATTTATTCTTGTCCGTCTCGCAATTATATACTTTGTCACGTAGCCGATCAAATAAAAACATAATATATATTAGAAAAGCTAAACTACTATAACTATTTAATAAATATTATGTAATATCACGCTATATATAGGAAAATATAAACAAAACAGTGTAAAAAGATCTTTTATATTACTTAACAAGCTAGTATCCTAGTTGCAGGGGTAGTAGTACCTTATAAATCCGTTATTAGCAGTTAATACTACTTAAATATACTATAAAAATTAGTTACGTAATTAATACCACTTCAATATACTGTGGAGATTAGTTACGTAAGTAATATTACTTAAATATATTATAAAGATTAGTAATAAAATTAATAGTGCTTAAATATACTAGTTATTAAGGTATATACTTCGTATACTAGCAGTATTTAAATAAACTTATATTTAGCTTATTCCTGTTTATATATTGTTAGATTTAGTAGTACTGCTATTAAGATCTACTATAGTTCAAGACGCTTATTTTCCTCTTGTCTTCCTCCAACAAATTTAACTATACATCTATTGCTATGGCACGACACGGCCGGCTTTTCACTTTACTTGCCCTTGCAGTAGGCTTGTACCCTCAAGTTTATGCTCAACCTATTGGATCCTTGCCGCCAGACGTTAGGGGTGAACTCCGAGGCCCATCTGAGCTGTTAGGTGCTCTTAATATAAACGATCTTGGACGTCTAGACGAGCGCGCACTTGGCGCAAGACGGGAAAACCGTCCGCCTAAGATACTACCGCCACCCCAGATTGTGTATCGTGGTGACAAGAGATCACCCGAGGAGATCAAAGCTAATGGCGGTTTCTTGCCAAGCTCTGAAATTAAGCCAACCAATGAGAATAACGGATTTGGTCTTTATAGGCACCACTTAGGAGGCCACGGCCTCGTAAATGGTAAAAGAGTTACCGCGTATGTATCTACAACTAGACTCTTCGGGACGGCACTTGGATATGCAAATATGGCTAGCGAAGAGGGTGGTTGGATATACGAAATCCAAGCCTTACCTCACATGATTGACTCTGATGGGACTCTGTTGCAGGGACGCAAATGGACTAAGGAATATGAATTTTCGGCCTTGGGGGGTATATCCTGGGCTCAAGTCAAGTCAGCAGCCCAGGTGCCTGGCTTTAAGACCCCCCAAGACTACGGTGTTCTATCTTGGTCCGGCGTCGATCCGGAAGGCTTCAAGAAGTCAATGCCCGAAAAGCAATGGTTTAATAACACAGACTACAACTCGACCTTCGATCAGTTCAAAGCAAGCCCGGGGCAGCCACAGCTCGCAGGGTGGTTCGACGACCGCGAGAAGTACAAGTCCCAAGAACCCTGGAGCCTCAACCAGACCAAGCCCATCGAGGATTATTTCATGGATTTCATGAACCAGGTTGGAGGGCATGTGGGTTGGAGGGGTACCTATCCTTTGGTGCTCAAAACTGATGACGAATACGCCGACAATTTTATCAAATGGATCCTTGATGGGTACTAAGCTTTAAGCTACCCGCCGAGCTTCTGGGTCTAGGGTTATAGTCACCTATCTTATACCTTACTGCCGACAGATTAGAGACAGCCGACGAGGTATAGGGAGCGAGATATACCGCTTTTTCGGGGTTTCGGCTTCGAAAGATGTTAGCATAGAGGATATTTACCCGCAAATAGACTGCTAGCTTTATAAAAATCGGTTCCTAAAGTTCTGGCTTTAGCTGTAACGGGCTGGGCCGTTGTAGTTTCGCAGAAGTAGCCATACGTCAGGTGTCATCTCTTTTGCAACTCACGCATCCAGGGTAGCAAAAGGCACAGGACCCATGTTACCTGGCGCACCAGCCGAGATGCTCGATGTGGCGTCAATGTTTTGTGGGAATCAACTTTACAATGCACCACTACATTTTACGTATTCCCTTGCAGCCAAGACCTAGAAGAATCAACATAAAAAGTAAACAACCAAGAAAACGTCTTAATTAAGTAGATGATGTCGATGCGAGTGTATCGCATGATATATTACATATTGATATTGGAAAACCTTCATGACGCCCCTCTGCTTTTTGGCAGATGATGGCAATACCTTATCTCGTCTCGCCCATGATGATTCTTTCGTCTTGTATGCTCCGTCACACCCATAGTGTGCAGCGTTTTTGACTCGCTCCCCTCTTGCCCACTCAAAACGTTTGAAACTCTTGCATTATTCCGTCCGCATTTACTCGGCAGGCTTGCGTCCAACCATGAGGTACATGGGTGTGAACAGCTTCTCACGGCCACCAGCGACCAGGCAGTCAGCAGCAAGAGCCAGACTGTCAGCAGTCTTCTTTGTGCCCGCGGGAGCCAGACGCATAGTTTCTAAGAGACCAGCCAAGTTGTGGGCAATGGTGCGGCCCCACGTCGTCATGCGGACAATAGTAAAGATGTCTCCAATCGTCTGTATGTAACGCAGCTCACCAGACAGGGGCCAGTACCAGGGGAGAGGGTCAGGGCGGTCGGCCAGATCCTCAGCACGTAGGAGCTCGAAACCGGCCGCCTTCATGGCCTCCAAGGCGTCAGACACCTTGCACATGTTGGAGATGCCGTCACCCTGCTCGATTCCGAGGCGGATTTCGCGGTGGTGGATGTTGTCGTTGTCGTACTCATCCGTCATGAGCCATTCGTAAACACCAAAGACACCGCCGGGTTTGAGGACGCGGAAAATCTGGCTGTAGATACCCTCAAGGGTGGGAGCGTGGACCGTAGCCTCAATGGCATAGACAGCGTCAAAGGTATTGTCCCCCCCCCCCCCCCGGGAAAACAACAAATGGGGCATTCGCCATCGTTCCACTCACCATAAAGTCACCCTTGACGAAATCCAGCTGATTGGACAGACCCTCCTTTTGAGCGTAGTGGGTAGCACGGTCAATCTGGTAGTCGTTGTTGTTCAGACCAGTGATATGAGCGCCGGTGAACTTGGCAATCTCGCGGGCCGGGCCTCCAACACCACAACCAACGTCAAGGACTTTCATTCCCTCCTTTATACCAATGCTGTGGGCGAGGTAGTGCTCGTGACGGGCAATGGCCTGGTAGAAGGGCTCGCCGAGGGAGAAGCGACAGAAATGAAAAGACTGGCCCCAGCCGTATTCGTACAGATCAGTAGCGAGGTTGTAGTAGCTAGCAGTTAATGAGCATCATATGATTGTCGAGGGTGTGCTAATAAAACATACTGTCTCGTCAAGGTTGCGTACTCGGCAGTTCTAGCCTTTGCAGGAGTTAGCCATAGAGTCTCACTATTTCTGTCGGCAACTCTTGACAACACGTACAGCGCGTTCCTCGGCAGTCTCGTTCTCGGCAGGCTTGTTGTCCCAGTGTTTAAAGTACTCGTCAACAGCCGCCTTCTTGGCCTCGCCACCCTTGGAAAACATTGCTGCAATCCCGCCGCGAGCCTGGGCAGATTTGCCGTGCATTGCCTTGTTGAAGGCTGCATCGCGAGAGTGGTCTTCGCGCTCGAGACTTGAAGAATTGGCAACCATGTTGAAGGTACGTGATGAGTTTTGTGTGACAATACAGACGACGTCTAGAAGACGTTATAGAGGAGAGTAGGAGAACGACGGGCACGGAAGGAGACGAGGGATCGTGGGAGTGCTTGGAGAAGGTTTTATGGTCGTCTTTTGCTTTCCCTCACATGCCTGTGTTCATCTAATTTCAAGGTCCTCTTTTTCCCTGCCCTTTCTGCCGCCCCTTTGGCGGCCCCTGGCAAGATTGGATTAAATGGGGCGCCCTCATTGGACCATCTTGGTCCACTGCGCATTCTCCTGGAATCGATTCTGCACCGGGGATCTGGCGCTTGCTTTCATTGGCCATTTTCTGCCAGAAACAGAAGGCGGTCTCGATCAACAATTACGAATACGAAAGCGAACCGTTTCAGGGAGTGCGGAGGAGTAGTACTCCGTGGCGACTCCACAGTAGTGGCTGAGTCGCGAAGCCACAGACCATTTTGCTTAGTCAGATAAAATCTTCGAATCGATAAGATAATTACGCCACAGCGTTAGGTCAGCAGGAATTTGGCTGTCGCGGTTTGAGTGGCGGGTAGCAGATCAACAGGTAGATTTCTGATCTTAAATGCAGAGCTTGTCATCGTCAAGTCTGCCTTGCGCATCATCTGGTGCACCTTAAGATAATACATCACCATGCCGCCCCAAATCAAGCAGGACTTGAATAGATCAGGATGGGAGAGCACAGACTTCCCCTCGGTGTGCGAAAACTGCTTACCTGAAAATCCCTATGTCAAGATGCTGAAGGAAGACTATGGTGCTGAATGCAAATTGGTACGTATCAAACACCCCCACATGCTCTTATTGCGACAGCCGTCATACTAATCGGTTACAGTGCACAAGACCGTTTACTGTATTCAGTTGGAACGGGGCCGACCGAGCTCAAAACCGACGAAAAAAGACCAACATCTGCCTGACTTGCGCCCGGCTCAAGAACTGCTGCCAGAGCTGTATGCTCGATCTTTCCTTCGGCCTTCCCATCGCTGTTCGAGATGCTGCGCTCAAAATGGTTGCACCCGGTCCACAATCCGACATTAACAGGGAATACTTTGCCCAGAACAATGAAAAGCTCATCGAAGACGGCAAAGCAGGTATTGAAGAGTACGAGAAAACGGATGAAAAGGCACGAGAGCTGCTTCGTCGATTGGCGAACAGCAAGCCCTATTTCAGAAAAGGTCGAGCTGTCGATGAATCAGAACTTGTAGGGAACAGTTCCGGTGGCAGCGTTGCTACTGGTGCTGGACAAGGCGGGCCAGGTCCTGTCCGAACTCGAGATAGTAGGGCTGCAGCTGCGGCAGGTGCCAGACCACGAGGCGGGAAAGGACGACAAGCGTTCCCTAGCGCTGCGCAACTACCTCCAAGCGAGAAGGACTGGCTTCCACCCGATGATACGAATATCATGTCCCTATTTATTACCGGTGTGGAGGACGACTTGCCCGAGTTCAAGCTACGAGAGTACTTCAAGGTACATGGAAAGATCAAGAGCTTGGTATGCTCGCATATGTCCCATTGCGCTTTTATCAACTACGAAACTAGAGCAGCGGCCGAAAAGGCCGCCGCCGCTTGCCAGGGCCGGGCTGTTATTGCAGGTTGCCCATTGCGAGTTCGATGGGGTCAACCAAAGGCAATCGGCACAATGAACAAGGAGGAGAGAGGACAAATGCTCCGTGACGCCCGGGTTGGGATCCCCAGAAAGCCCCAACATCGCGGCGGTATCGAGGCCGGCTCCCACGGGGCTAGTCAAGCACTGCTTTCTCCCAGTTCTTCTGTCGCTGCTCCCCCGGGTGCTGATGATACCCCCAACTACGCAAGTCTTTCTGGGGACTAAGTTGCTCCTGCACAGTAATTCAGCATATGTGGTGTTTGGCGTTTGGAATTTGGACAATCTGGAGCAGTATAGAGGGGATGCCGTAGGGATCAAACAGTTGAGATTGGCTGGTTGTCATAATTATATGCATTGTGGATGGGAGGGTATCATGACAGGCGTCCCGTCGTAACCAGGTAGTAAATATACATTATTGTACATGCAAGTGTTTCCTTCTGTTCTTTTCACGTATGTTTATCTCCCGTTGCCACCGCAGCACCCGCCACCAACTGCGCCGCTTCCTGCAGTCTTTACGCTTTCATTGTCGCCTCTCTCGGTGTGTTCATGGATTCGAAGCTCTAAGCACGCGGTCAGCTCATGCAGATTCTCTTGATCTCCTCACATATTACGCAACCTACGGTACATATTCTCCCCACCCTCCATCCGCTTTCCCTGGACCACATTGGCCTTCAGAAAGTTGGCCACTTCTTGCGCATGCTGAATAGCCTCTTGAGTAGACGCATCGGACGAGTTGAGAGAGGACTTTTGTCGGAATTCGTGGCGAATTTGTTGTTGAGCGGCAGCCAGGATTGGGGCGTCGCCTTTAAGCCTCTCTGTTAGCATGAATTGGAAATAGAACATGTAGTTAGCATACCTTGAAAAGCAATGCGTGCTGCGCGCATCAAATTTTTGTATGCCGCCAGAGCCATGGTTCGACGTTGCGAAGGTATGGCGCCCTATCATGTAACTTTACAATGCCTTCTTCCAAGACGAAGCACATGAAGGCAAATAGGCGATGCAACAATAAGCTGTAGAGGCTAGCGGAGCCAGGTTCGGCCGTCTTCCGGTGCTTACAGCGCCCGGCAGATTTGGAGCGCGATTGACCCCACCAACAACTGTGGACAAATCTGGTCCAGAGAAAAAAAAAGTGCGAGCCCTCCGGCCTTTATCTTTTTATCCATTGCCAACCACCCAGGTGCAGCATCACAATGGCTACCGTTATGCAGGTCAATGACCTGCCTCTACCCATTCTTCCCGAAGGATGGAATGCTGAGAAGGACTTCAAGGCCATTGGGCAACTGTCCGGCGCTGTGCAGCGCAGCATTGAACCTGTTGGCCCTCATTTCCTGGCCCACGCCCGCCGAGCTCGCCACAAGCGCACTTTCTCCGAAGACGATCGCATCCAGGCTCAGGAGAGCGCCAAGAAGGTCGAGGATGGGGATGAGAGCGATGAGAGCGAGGCTGAGGATCCCATGATGCTGCAGCGCGAGGCCAAGGACTGGAAGGTATGGATATTCCCTATGGACCAAGTCAAGTACGAATTGCGAGGCTAACCTGTCGATCCAACAGACCCAGGATCACTACAAGATTTTGGGCCTCTCCAAGTACCGCTGGAAGGCTACGGAGGACCAGATCAAGAAGGCCCACCGCAAGAAGGTTCTGAAGCACCACCCCGACAAGAAGGCCGCCCAGGGCCGTACTGAAGACGACCAATTCTTCAAGTGCATCCAAAAAGCCACCGAGGTTCTCCTTGACCCCGTCAAGCGCCGCCAGTATGACTCCGTTGACGAGGAAGCCGATGTTGAACCACCAACCAAGAAGCAGCTCCAAAAGGGTGATTTCTACAAGCTCTGGAGCAAGGTCTTCAAGTCTGAGGGCCGATTCTCCAAGACTCACCCCGTACCTACGTTTGGCAACGCCGAGTCTACCAAGGAGCATGTTGAAGACTTTTACAACTTCTGGTACAACTTTGACTCGTGGCGCAGCTTCGAGTACCTTGATGAGGATGTCCCCGATGACAACGAGAACCGTGACCAGAAGCGCCACGTTGAGCGAAAGAACGCCAACGCCCGTAAGAAGAAGAAGGCCGAAGACAACGCCCGCCTCCGCAAGCTACTGGATGAAGCGTCTGCTGGTGACGAGCGTATCAAGCGCTTTAGACAGGAGGCCAATGCTGCCAAGAACAAGAAGCGTTTCGAAAAAGAGGCTGCCGAGAAAAAGGCCACCGAGGACGCCAAGGCCAAGAAAGAGGCGGAGGAGAAGGCCCAAGCTGAGGCCGAGGCTGCTGCCAAAGCCGACCGCGAGTCTGCAAAGAAGGCCAAGGAAGCTGCCAAGAATGCCGTCAAGAAGAACAAGCGTGTGCTCAAGGGTTCCATCAAAGATGCCAACTACTTTGCCACTGGCGACGTGTCGGCTGCCCAGATCGATGCTGTCTTGGGAGATGTTGAGCTCGTCCAGGGAAAGATTGATCCAGACGAGATTGCTGCTTTGGCCGGCAAGCTTAATGGTCTGACGGTGGCTGATAAGATCAAGGCTGTTTGGAACGACGAGGTCAAGAGGCTTGTTGATGCTGGCAAGCTCAAGGATGGTGAAGCCAAGACCCTGGCTTAAAAATATCGGACTAGGTGCACTGTCTGCAGGATGACTGAGAGATATATGAAGGTAGCGTATGATTGGGTTAGACATGTCACTTTTATGCATAGACAAAAGGGGGGTGATTTAAAGTTGACATATATTCTATTCGATTCCTGCTTCTCACCAGACATTAAGTGGATTTCCCTTCATGACACTTTTCTTCTTTTGTTTCCTTTCTCCTCCTAACCTTCACTAATGCCCCAGCCGCAACCCTGCTTTTCCTCGAAAAGGTTATGTGTTGGTTAAGGGAGATTATAACCTAGTGTTCAATGCCTATTTGAGACAACTACACATTTACCGAGCAGCGAGCGACGACGACGACAGAGGCAAGCAAGCAAGCAAGCTGGTCGCCTGATATGTGCCGACATTGAAACACTGACGGTGGCAGATTGAATGGGACTTCCGAGTCCAGCGACACCTGCATCAACATGAGGCTGCCTGCCGCCCATCTCCACCTGCCAATCAGTACATTAAGCCTGGCACCCAGGGACATAAAAAAGCTTCGAAATTGGCGGTACCCACTGCAGGTGCTTCCTCAGCATCCAAGTGGACCATTGACCGGACTTGAAGTGACATCGGACATTTGGACCTTTGCTCTCCACCTCCACAAACTATGGGCCTTTCTCTCTTTTCCCATTCACATCCATTATCAGAATTCCACATTTGCCATCAAAGCTCTGCCCATCTGCTTATTTCCCGTGCTGAGCATCTTTTCTTTTTCCTCTGGGATCTTGCCATTCTATAACACATCGCTTCTACCCCTTTCTCCGTGGCGACTCCCAAAACTGCCAGCTCCTCCGCCCTGCCCGAGTCCTCCCTCGCTGAACAACTCCCCATGCCGTCTCGTTACCAGTATCAATTCGAGGTGGCTTGCCTTGCAATACTCGACCGATAAATTGACTTCATATCTCCTTTTTATCTCCCTCGAGGCGCCCAACCGTACATGTCTGTTGTCGCCTCTAACACGGCCGGCGAGCAGGCATTGTGTCATCATGGAAGTCCCCAGCGAGACTGCGATGCCCCGCTCAACGGGTCTTCCAAGCCGGCTGGTGTCAAGTTTTCTTTGAACGACCTCAGACTAGGCGAAAGCTTTGATACAGTAAGTGCTCGCTATTTTTTTTCTTCCTGTCCTCTTAAGCCCATCATAATGACCTCGTCAACCAGATCAAGCTCGACGTCGGACTCCTAGCGTGGCACATTGGCCACTTCCCCAAGGAACACGGGGCGGCTGGTGAAAGGGTCAGCGAAGATGACCTTTACGCGATTCTGGAACTGTCTCAAAACATAGGAAACAACGTTGACAAAATTTTTGCCCTTCGAAATCAGAATGCGATCCCAACAGAAAGCGAAAGCATACAAGAAGAGCCCATTAGCCCCGGAGAAAGCCAATATCATCAGCCGCAACAATTGAAGAATACATGCCCCAGGAGAAGGAGGAGCGAAGATTCAAGCCCAGGCCCACGAATTCCCGCAAAGCGACAGCGAAGCATTGCCTGCTGCCGGACATGCTTGACCGACCAAACACCGAAATGGCGAAATGGCCCAGCTGGCCCTGGGACTCTGTGCAATGTGTGTGGCTTAATATATGCGAAACGACGGGGAAGAATTCGCGCCGCGAAAGACGCACCGAAACAGCCCTCCTCTTGCTAGTTAACTGGTATCTAGCCGATAATGACATGGAGGCTGGAGATCGAAGACTGGAGATACAAGGATACAAAATTGGTTTCGGCGTGTTACATTGGCTGATTTGTTTCATTTTCTTGGGTAAACCCTTGCATTGAGGCTCGATGCCAAATGTATTCTATTTCTTCATCTCTTTTGGATATACCCATCTTCGTAACTATACAGTGATTAATTATTGTGGTTCAAGAGAACAGGCCAGGCTATGAAATTAGAATGTAGGATTTGGATTAAAACTCGCGAAGCGCAACACCAGTAATGGGTCGGAGGTAAATATCGCACGAGCGGACTCGGCTGTTATGGAGAGACCTCTTTCAAAAGTGTGAGAATGAGCTGATGGGCTTCCTCGCATGCCCCATGCATCAACCGCAATCTAGATCTGCCGGTGGCGTTATCCTGAAAGGTTCAGGCCTCGAGGTCCTTGCTGCCATCGTCCGCCACATTAGAGGCCTAGTCCTAGGTCAGCTCTGATGGAGGGACCCTGACTCCACTTAGTCCACCAGCCCGTCTCGCCTCTTGTCGTCAAATGTCCTCTCTTGACCAGCTGGTGTCGCACTGTCAAAATTTGGTGGGGCAGACGACACCAGGCTGAGAAAAGAATATTGGAATTTCATCTCTTTCGACCGTTCGTAGCTTTTCCACCCATATGCCTCCGCAAGCTCCGTACGCCTAAGTGCAAAACTTCTCACCACGGTCGCTGCAAAGGCCAAACCTCAGTGCGCCGCAGGCAATTCTGTCATGATATTTCGCCTCTCCTCGCCTTGACGACTGAGGTGTCGCGTCATTGGAGGCAGCCATGGCCGCCAACGTCGTAGCCGAGGAAGCCCGTGAGCGCGAGACGTTTCGGTACATTTTCCATGCGGCAGTTTCAACGTAGCTACTGATAATTCGCGTGCTAACAGCCTCTTGAGTATAGATACGACTCGTCTTTGATCAACCAACTGTTTCCCAACCCGGACGAGGCGCCAATCTTCCCCTCACAACTTACTCCCGACCCATCCTTGACTGCCTTTGCAGAATTGGGCGTGCACCGTCTCAACGCTTGCCGTGCCTTTGTTTCGCTCTTCGATAGGCAGCATCAGTATATTGTCGCCGAGGCTACGCCTACGACTCCGCTCTCACCGGGTAGCAGCGCTGCTCAGCAGCCTAGCGGGCGGGATGGACTCGAGGCGCAACTCTTGCTTTGGGGCACCTCCCTGCCTCGCTCAAGTAGTATTTGCGACCATGTTCTTACGTCTTTGGCCCCGGGGGCTACTCATGAGCGGATAAAGTGTGGTCAGGAGCCTTATCCGGAACTTCCTGTGACTGTTATAGGTGACCTGGAAAACCACCCGTTCATGGAGGGGGTAACCGCTTTGCCATGTTGGCCACCTTACAAGTTTTATGCTGGTGTTCCGCTCAGGACTCCAAAGGGAATATATATCGGTGTTTTTAGCGTGTTGGATATGGACGGCCGGGAGGGAGAGGACCCCAATATTTCTCCGATCATGCAGGACATTTCGCGAACGATTATGGGATATTTAGAGACGCGAAGGTTTAGAGATGGTCAAAGGAGGGCTGATAGGATGGTGAAGGGTGTTGGGAGCTTCGTACAGGGCAAGTCAACGACCTCGGGGTGGCAGGTTGCGCCTTGTGCCGATGAAGCGGAAGATCGGGCTGATACTAATGCTGGTGACGCAGAAGAAGGTGAGTGCTCATTTGGAAACTCTGATGTATCCTGTGCTGCTGATGGCATGCACTAATGGGATGTAGATCCAACAACTCAAGCATCAGCTAGTAAGGACAAGAAGAGCCATGTCAACGATGCTTCTACCAAATCTGCAAAGCACATCTTCTCCAAGGCGGCAAAGATTATACGTGAATCGATCGAAGCCGACGGCGTGCTATTCTTGGATGCTGGAATTTCATCCTTTGGCGGACGAGCTACTGTCGGTGGAATCGCGGGAAGTCGTGATGGTGAGCGTCGTGCATCCGCCACCAGTATGCATTATGCAGCTGGAGCTCTGAATAACTGCTCGTGCTGCAAGGTTCTCGGGTTCTCCACGTCATACTCTTCCAGCATTGATGGGCACGATCAGGAGCAATGCTACAAGCAGCTCCCCGAACACGCATTGGGCGAATATTTGAAGAAGTACCCCAGAGGCACCATCGTCACATTGAACGAACTCAACACACCAAATGACACAACAGCTATTTCTGATGAAGGAACGCAGCCTGTCTTGGACATTCCCCGGCAACCGTTAGGATTGCATCTGGACCTTCAAAAGGCGAAGTCGTCAGAATCAATGAAATCCGAATACGACATGGAGGATTTTGTGAGAGACTTGCTACCTGGGGCCCGGAACGTTGCCTTTTTCCCTCTTTGGGACCCCCAAAAACGCCGGTGGTATGCTGGTGGTTTCGCATACACCAAGAAAGCGTCACGCGTCTTGTCCGTGGAGGGAGAACTAAGCTATCTTTTGGCTTTTGGCACTGTCATCATGGCAGAGGTGTTCCGGATAGACTCCAAGGTGGTGGAACAATCCAAAATGGATGTGTTGAGCTCCATATCTCACGAACTGCGTTCACCTCTCCACGGCATCATTCTCGGTGCCGAACTACTCCATGATACTGCTTTGGATGCATTCCAAGGAGACCTGCTGCACTCTATGGAGACTTGCAGCCGTACTCTGCTTGACACTGTCGACCATCTGTTGGACTGGAGCGGAGTCAATAACTTTCTCTCGCCGACATCCGTACCGCAAGACAATGGCGACGTAGAAGAACGAGGATTACGGTCGGGGAAAATGGCAACTATTGAATCAGGCATGATGAGCATAGTGTCACGCGTCAGTGTAGACTTGATCGTGGAGGAAGTTGTGGAAAGTGTCTACGCAGGACGTATTTTTCAGCTCCGGACGCTGGGGTCAAACGTGGCACAAACCGGAAATCCAGCCGGCTCAGAAGCAATGCAGCCAAATGAGTTAGTTGACTGCTTGGCGGCACAAAAGGAATCTGACATCTCTACGATATGCGTCGACATTGAACCCAACGCTTCGTGGGAATTTTACTCACAACCAGGTGCATTGCGTCGGGTCGTTATGAATTTGGTTGGCAATTCGCTCAAGTTCACGACCAAAGGATTTGTCAAGATTTCTCTGGACCAGCCGCAGATATCACCAGCTGTTGGGGAGCAAGAGGGCACCTATGTGCGACTAACAGTAACAGATTCTGGCTGTGGAATTGGCAAATCGTATCTCGAGAACGACATCTTCACTCCGTTTATCCAAGAGGACGGCCTCAAGCCAGGAATGGGCCTCGGCCTCAGTTTTGTGGAAAGAATTGTGACGGCACTCAAGGGGTCCATCTCAATACAGAGCGTGGTTGACAAAGGAACCAGTGTATCCGTCACAATACCACTTTCTCCCGTGGTGCCAGAAACCGCAACTCCAAGGCTGCGGAATCCCGGTCACGAATTTGAGTCTCAAAAGAACGATTTGAAGGGCTTACGAGTGCTTCTTTTGGGCTTCCGTGATACGCCATCCGTTGATAGTGACGACGGTGTGTTTGGAACGAATGTTGTTGAACGCGAGGGAATTGCGAATATATGCCGAGATTGGCTGCAAATGCAGGTGGTAGATCCATCTCAAAGCAATACTTTTATACCGGATTTGTTGCTATGCGACGAGACGTATTTGCACCTGAATTCTCATATCCACACCCAGCGAAACGCCTCTTCACCTCCCGCAGTGGTCATTTGCAAGAACGCGGTGTCCGCTCGCGACCTGGCAGAGAACAAAATATTCAAGCGCAGACCCAACGACCAATTGTGGGAGTTTAGCGCCCAGCCGTAAGCCTCAGCCTACTCCAAAAAAAGACGATTACAAAGTGCTGACATGATGTTTAGTGTTGGTCCTCGAAAACTGGCCAAAGTCCTATCACTGACATTCAAGCGATGGACAACTTACCAAGCAACTCTCAACCCCTTGTCGGCGGCTCAAACCCCCGAAGACGAAGACGGCCCTCGCCCAACCAACGCAACGGTCACCGTGCCGGAAACAAACTCGTACCACGCTGACGGAATACCCGAGTCGGTTATCCCAAACTCGTTTCATGACATCTCGCTGCCTGAACGAGTACGTCGATCCACCCCCCTCGCAGCCATATACCCCGACTCAACCACATCCGACATCGACTCCAACCAACCAGGCACAAGTTTCCTACTCGTCGACGACAACCCCATCAACCTCAAAATCCTCATCACCTACATGAAGAAACTTCGACTACCCTACCGCACCGCCACAAACGGCCAACAAGCCGTCGACTTATTCCGCGAAGGAAACGGTCTCTATAAGTGTGTTTTCATGGACATTTCCATGCCGGTGATGGATGGCTTCGAAGCAACGCGGCATATACGAAGCACGGAGATGGAAAAGGGCTTGCATCGGTGTACAATCTTTGCGCTGACGGGGTTGGCGAGTGCGGATGCGCAGCAGGAGGCATTTACAAGCGGGATCGATTTGTTTTTGACCAAGCCAGTCAAATTAGCTGAATTGAGTCAGATTTTGTCGGCGAGATTCGGGTCAATACAGAATTGAGCATGAGATGGGGCTTGCGGTATTTGGGCGAGCATTGCATATGCGTTGCGTTGCGTTGGTTTTTGGTAGGGCAAGGGCGGAGTTCAACTGCTACGAGGATGGGTTTAAATGATGTTGCATTAGATTTGCTTTCGAGGTTCTGCTCGCTTCCTGATGCTCCGGCCATATAACCTTGTTCTGAAGTCGTGCTTGCTGGCGGAATGCTTCGTGCGTCGTGGTCTTGATTGCACTTGTATGCCCTTGTTGGCTAACAGGACGGCTTGCATTGGCTTGGCGATGCATTGATTTCAATATAGCGTGTCAGCGAGGCAGGCATAGAGAATACTGTTTATTTCTAGTTAAATTGCTAGTGTCAACTAAAACACTTGGTCCTCTGGCTACCTTGTTAGCCAAGGCAGGTATGCGATATCAAGGGTCTGCCGTTGTAAACAACTATACCTGGTCGCCGGGGGTTTTCTCCGCAGAGGTGAGCTACTTGCAGTAGTCGGACAAGCAATTATCCAACCAGTTTGGTTGTAGTCTCGCAAAGCACGACATCGACGCCGAGACGACCAAGTTGCCGGTGCTCATCTGGATCCATGGCCGAGGCCTCGCGCATGGCGCTGCCACGAATCCACCATGGGGTATGTTGGCCCAGTACTATGATGCGTTTTACATTACCGTATTCAGCATGAGACAAGATATGTGCTGTGAGGTTTCCATCCACCCTGGCGATGACAAGAGAGACAATCAAGTCGAGGCGACAGACGACAAAAAACGAATCCCGCTCGGCACGACCGCCGACGTGATTATTAGCTCTATTCGTTTGGCCAGCTGCATGTGGTTTATGCCAAATTTCACGATCCTTTTCACATCGAGCCATACCTCGAAGTCTGCAGCTAAAAACGCTCTTCAAGCATATAATATCCTGCCCACATCATCTGATGAAGCGTTTTTCGAGGCGCTCACCCGGGTTAATTTTAATACTACTATGATATATGAAGTATGTCATGCAGGTAAATTCTTCAAAACTCATCGCAGGAAGCAAGCTCTACTCTCTAGCCAGGACCGGAACTGCCTGGGTGTTCCATGTCACTGTGTCTAGTTTCACAATCCCTTTCCGGGCCCCGAGCAGGGCATTACACATCACGGCGTGGCACTCGTCTACGCCTTTGGTAATTTCCACCAGGCATTGGACAAGGTAAACAGGGGCGTTTCGGTGCTATTGGCCACAAGGAGGCTGGTGGGAAGCGTCTTGAATATGCCTCTAGAATACGTTCTATTCAACACTGAGATCCTAGTCTTTGTCTCCCTTGACAAGGGCTTGGAACTATATCCGTATTTAGCGACTAGCCATTGGCCTTCTCATGTCTCCGAGGGCATATGGCCGTTATTTATACACAGCAGTGATGAGCAGGCGAGTCTTGAAGCCAAAAGCCTCAACTAGGTCTCGGTCCCCTGCGAGCTCTCGTCAGGTCGAAGTGACGGTACGTGCCTGCCAAATCATGCCGCGGACAAAAGGCACCACATGTCGAGTGCAGTCAAGTTATTTGATACGCGTCTGGTGTTGTCTTTAGCCTCGAGGTTCCCAATTTCCACTTACAGGACCACAGGGGCGCAGAAGACGAGATACCGATACGAGTCATGACGGGCCTCCTTTCCCTTTCTTAAGGGGTTCCTGAGTTATGCTATATTTAGCTGGTACCCGCGAAAATGGGACGGATGGGCTCCTCCTCATAAGTCATATGTTTCCAGAGGCAATCGTAATAATGCTGCGCCTCCTTTAGACTCGGTGTGGTCCGTTTGCACAGCCCGTTGAGACCCGCTGCATTGGAGACGATGAGACCAGAAAGGCACCAATAATTACGGCAGAACTTGAAGTTTACATGGGGTGGATGGGGTTGTTTCTACCGCTGTAAGGGGTTCTTTGAGATCCCACGCGAGGCCGAGTTTCCCTCTGCGGAAGTCCGGAGTACGGCATGGGAAAGAGTTGTGCAAAGACGGCGGTTGAGCCAAGACATCACTTGTATTGAGAGGCAGCGGCCTCTGACTCGCCTAAAGTAAATATGTACTGTAGAAAGAAACCTTTCCAGCCGTCTTAGATGAGTGACACTGTCGTCATGACGGAAGCTATGGATGGGACATATAGTCCCCGGTGCTAGTTGGACCTGATTTGCACGTTACCACCAGGGAAAATCAGTATCGCGAATGGCGTTTGAGCCGCAGTGTATCTCGCCAACACCTTCGTGGTGCGAAAACCAGTCGTCGATATAGTCCACCGTCATGTTGGCCTTGGCATACGCCGCATTGACAGCCTCTTTGAGAATGTCCTTGCCGTCAATGACGGGCCCCCATACGTTGGCGGACAAGTACTTGCCCTTTCCAAGGACTATGCCATTGACGGCGCCGGGGTAGAATGCATATACCTGGAACGCGTGGTCGCGGTCCTTGATGTGTTCCTCCTCCTGGCCCGGCTCCGGCAGGTACTTTTTGGGCTGGTACGGTCTTGGGCCGGCCATGGCTTCGTTGTAGTACAGCGCCGGCACGCGAAAGATTTCGCCATCGTCGAGTCCAACCTCTTGTTTTACAATGTTGATGTTTCGCTCAATGTTCCACGCGGCGTACTCCTGGGCCCGGGAAAAGTTGGCCCGGCTGAGCACGGCGTCGATCGTCATAGCTGGAAGACTGACATCATCTGGTTTCCGGCTATCGGCGCTGTCGGTAGGGAAGCTCGGCCTCGACAAGGCCCGGACATTGCCATGGCCTGCCTTTTGGGCCTTTACGAGGAGATCAAGGCCGGCGAGGGGGTCGTCCACCATCATGGCCCAGCCGCGCTTGTTGTCGGCGGGGACGAACTGCATAAACTCGTCTGTGTGGCCGATGTACAGCCAAGTTGTGTCAATGTCAACGGGCTTCTGCATCTCTTGGGCCTCGAGGAACTTGATGATGTTGGCCTTTTGCCCGCCTCGCGACCCCATGATTACACGTCCAGCTGGATACGACTTGCCGTTGTGCGAATGGGGAGGAATAGTCTCCAGATTGCCCGTGTGATCTACGTCGCTGTCATGGTTGTCGATTTGGAGGAACTGGACTGCTCCAACGGAGTCGGATCGCATATCGGAGAAGGCGATTCTTCCCTCGGTGTTATTGATGGCGGACCGGATCATAACTCCCAGCGTGACAGGTCCATCTGGCCCGGGAATACTGGTATATCCAGCTTCGAAATGGTCCTGGGGAAACTGGTCCGCCCCAACCAGCCGTAGTGGTTTCTGGATACCGGCCTTTGTTATGTGGTCCTGCAGCTCCTTGGCAAACCTGGCTCCTAGGCCCTTCTCCGTGGGCCTCATGGTAATGATCTCCCTGGCCTGTTGCAGATGGTGGTGCGTCAAGACGGGAGCAACCCGGAGAGCCACCGCGTCCTTGACCGTCTCGGCACCGTCACTGACGCTGAACTGTACAGTAGCTCTGCCGTCCCAGACACCCGGGCGGCGAACGTCGCGGGCGTCAATGCCAAGTTCCAGGCCCTTCTTGATTTCGTCGGCGGCGAAGGTGTAGTTGGCGGCCACGTATAACCAGTCACTGCCCGACTTGTGGAAAACGCGGACCTTTTCGGCGGCTGCTTCTCCCAGCACGGCAATAGACCCGGTAGCCGAGCTGCTCACATCTGCCATGGGTGCAGTTTTCAGGGCAGCCAGATATTTGGAGTTTCGCAGCACATTATCGGCAGCGTCATGGCATTTGTCTAGTTCTTGGTTGGGCGTAGAAGGATCAGGACCGTCTCCGAAATCGAAACTGGTAATGATCTTGTCAGAGCAACGCCGGTTCGTATCTACGATGTTGGCCAGAAACAGGGCGCCGGTCTGCTCAGTCCAAGTTTCTTTTCCGGCAAGATCGGTGCTGCCTTCCACATCAACTTTGCCGTCGCGGTTTGTGTCGGCGAGGATGACGGGGTTCAAGGCCCGGCTGACGCTTGCAAGTCCTGATCTCGTATTAGCGTAGACAAACAACATAGATAATTTCAGATGCATCATTTCTACCCAGAGACAAGATCGCCGTGGCTGTACTGATGCGAGGCATTGCGTTTTTTTCGGCGGTGCAAGCACGTTGCCCGCTGATGAACAAGGGGATCAAGATGACTTGAGGCTTTCTGTGTGTTGTCTATGTTGTCCTTGATCCAGACAAGATAATGTTATAATGGGATGTCTGGTAAAGCTATCATAGAACCGGGCAACATGTACGCTTTATATATTTGAAATTCAGTCTCACCACCAACACAAAGGATATCGGGTTCATCCGCCGAGCCAGGCAAAATGATGTAGCAATAGATGCCCGTGCCCAATATCCCGCCGTTTGCGTCGTTTGGTCTCTTGGGTCGTGGCAATCCCACCTTGCATTTCATATTACAAAAACTTTTCATTACTACGGTGATATGGCGTGATACACATAGCCCTGCAATCTTATGATAATATAAGTCCTGCGCATATGCGAAGAGGGAGGAGCTGGCTCCCTTGCCATGCCGTGCCAATTGATTGTACATGCCATATAGATGGCCCAAATCTCTGATCCACTCTATCTTACAAGTCATTGACAAGTCTTGCACATGAAAGTTAATAAATTTGACACAATTCAGGTTATTTGTCCCTCTGATACGTCCTGAGCTAAAAATTGAATGTTTGGTTGAGAATACGAAGCAGTGTATCTTTACGTTGACACTTGAGACTGAAAACCGTATTTTTGCAACTGGACACACAGCCACATCAGCGTCACTGTAGTCGATCTTCTAGATACAGGTATACCCGTTGGCAACTAAGTGGACTAGCCACTTTACCTGTCTTGCCCATTTTTCGTCTTAATATAGTAAACAGCAGGGGCCAAGTATACCTGAAACGTCGTCCGCCAGTACCACCGACTGACAGCCACAATATCGTCTAACCCTCTTTGGAAGCTATTTAATAGCTCATACCATATTATGATCAGATTCCCGTAGGACCAAGAGCCATGATCCGAGCCTCTAGCATCCG